ATCAAATACACAACTATTGCAGTAGCATAACTCCATGATATGGAAATAGTATTCAGTGATCCTAAAGAATGGAAAACTACTTGATTTTTATAGTGGATCCAGGAGCTGTGAATTGTCAAAATTTCTCACTTTCTTTGGATGTTGATTGGTAACTTCTGAATCCACAGGCACGAGGGACAAACCAAACTATGCTGACTCTTCTTTATTGCTTCTCTTTCATGCCAGTTAGAGAGATTTTGTGCTAGGGAGAAAAACTACCTGTGACTTTCAAAATAAAGACAGTTCTGTGGAGCTAAAGTGCTTCTACTGTACCCACTGCCCACTGATAGGAATCTCTCCTATGGCATGTTGTAAATTTGGCTGACAGGCTTTATTGCTGAGTATGCTACATATTCCTGGAATGTGTTTCAGGGCTGGTGATACATGAGGCCCTGCATCAGGAAGGAGTTTTTCTGTGGTTCTTCATAGGCTAAGCATCTATTCAGTTCTTAATGAAAATAAACAATGTACTGATTATGATAGTATATTCGTAGGTAATTTCATCTTGCTCAGGCAAAGAAAAAAAATAGAACATTATTTAATGTTACAAGATAAAACAGTCAGTCTTGTTTTTAATAAGAAGGGAAATATAGCAGCAACAAATAGACTATAAATGATGTAGAACTAGTCAAATTGGATTTTTCTGTCTAGTAAATGAAAATTAATATGTAGCTAAGTCACATGGGCACAAACTTCCAAATTTCAAAATATCAAACAATTTACAGCGATTTCTCATTATAAAATTCATCTGGAACAACGAAACAAACAAGTTCCTGTTTCAACAGTTTTTAATGAGTTTGTCAAGTGCTGCCATTCCTTTTTATTTTTTTTTTTTGCCAAATTCAGTTCTACAAGTCCCAGTATGTTCCAAATCCTTTTGCATTTAATTGGAAATAAATAAATAGTCAGAAGATTTAATTAAATTAAAACTTAGTAAGAAGTATTCCCAAGATCAGCCAAATCAGCAGGATTCTAATATATTAATCTACATACAGTGAAGTCTCAATATATCAAAATTATGTGTTCATAAGTCGTGACTAAATATCTAACTACGTGCATAAATCTTTACGTGCTGTGACTTCAGGGAAGCTAACTTATCTAAATATAACTTCAATATTTCTGAGACTTTGTTATCTTACCTTGGTATAGATACTTCAGACAGAATTTTATACACATTTTAATTTACATTTAAAATTTTCATGTTTAAGTTATTATAAATTATTGCATTCCTCATTCATTTTGTTGATCATTGATAGTTATTAAGGTCTCCATAAACTGTGTAAATAGAGAGAAGGTATTAAAATTCTTACAGCAGAAATTTTCATTCCTATAGACTGTAACTAAAGTGGGTCCAGTGTATAATCAATGGATATCAAGATGTTACAATCACAGTACAAACAAGAGAGTTAGGCAAAGTGGACTACGATAACAAGAGAGAATAAATAGAAGGCTTACCCTTATGCTGGGCTCACCACAAAACACCAGAAGGAGGGATCTCCAGAAGAGATCCTTCCCCTCTGGTAGCCAGCTCTTAAATAGGTCTAGGAGAGGTGGAGCCAGGCTCCACCCCTTCCGGCAGCACAGGTGAATTGCCTTCACCTGTGCTCCTCTGGCTGACTCATGGCTCGCCTCAGGTGATCAATCAGAGGTTCAGGCTGTGACTCAGCAGTTCCCATACAGTCCAGCAAATAATGTATAATTTTCTCTCCAGTCCCACTAATACTAGTTTATCATGGGGATGGCTCATGGAGTCAATGGAGGAAAGAAGACAGAAAACCTGGGGAAGAAGAAGGGAAATAATATGCCTAATATTTCCGTACAGCTTCTCTTTTTCTTACACAGTCAATGGAAAATTGTATTTTAGTCTTTTTGTTTGAGGTTAGGATGTAGTTTTAAATATCTTGGTGTTTGTATTGCTGCTTCCTCCCAATGTCCAAGTCATTCTCCGTGCAAAAATTAGTAAGATTTTTTTTCAACAGTAAGTCATTTAATTGACATGAGGTTCGCATTTCTACACATGAAAATTAGTATTACTTGTGCTTTCTATGAATCTGACATTTTACTCTCATTCAATTAATTTATTTTTTCTAATTTCTGCTTTATTGCTCCATTCTTCCTGATACTATATTTATTTTTCACGTATCTATGTATGCATTTCTCACGAAGTATACCAGTTTCTGTTTTTATTTTTATTTTACATTTTATTTTTCTCTCTGAACAGTAAATTCTCTTCAGTGAAGTATTTTGCATTAAAAACACACAAACAGGACATGACCTTCATGCAATACTTCATGAAATGATTTAATTCATCTTTCACTTGTGATAGGAACAATGGTGAAAATTACCAATAGCATGACATTTGATATTTACTTATAGACATTTTTCATTTCTGCAAGGAAAACTGCAGTTTTAAGTGTGTAGTGTGGATGCTTTGAACATATTCTCATCCACTGATCAGACCATGAAACTTTTAGCCATTTCAGGGTCTTCTGAGTTTACTTTTTCCAAATATTAGCTGTCTAGTTTTCAATGGATCTAACCTAGACTTGTAAAATGAGAATCAGTGCATTTATATCATTGTGAATCTTTCAGTAAAATAATGCAATTGTAAAAATGAATGCTAGTTTTTTTCAAAGGTATAATATTTTAAATATTTAATTTAACATCAGCAGTATACCATGTTGCGTATCCAAAATTAATTCTTACTTGTAATATTACTATTTTTAAGACAAACTGTACCAAATGCAAATATTGCTGTAGGAAAAACTTGTAATCTGTTGACTACCCAAATATTTCTCCAAATTTTTGCAAATCACCAACAGCAAGTGATGCAAAAGTTGTTTAACTGAGTCACTATTCAGATGCATGTTTTAAACACAATCCTTATAAACTTAACTAACTGTAGACAGGATTCTCCTGTGCTTTATGGTTTCTGATTATAAATTCCTCTGTTAGTTCATTTTTAAGTACTTAGAAAGGAAGAAATTTGTATTTTTACAAAACTCAGCCTTAGAATGCATAAATACATGAACGATAGATGGTACTACCTGTATGCTGAAAACAAAAGAGTGGAAATCTAATGCAAATCAGTTTAACTAGGAAGTATCTTGTCAGATCAGAATATGGTGTAAAATGAGTTCAAAATTAACTTACATTATGTGTAGTACTCCTTGGGCTCTTGCAAACAAATTGCTTTCCTTCTTTGATCTGGATGAAGACAAGTGTCAAGAGTAGGGTTTTACAGAGTTTCAGAACAGTCAAGATAGTCTGAAACTGTATAACACAGGATCCTGTGTGCACAAGAAAGCAGAAGGGAGTTTGTTTTTTACTTCTCTCTGCTTCCTTATAGTCCTGTGTAAACATAATGTAGCTCCTGGCACAGAATGTTCTTTTTTTCTAAGCAGAGATTATAAAAACTCAAGTTCTTGCAACTTTACTTTGAGGCCTTTGAGATCTTCCTACCTTTTATTTTGAAATTAAGGAAAAGCCCATAATATTTTGTAATGAATGGTCTTTCAGTGTTTTATTTCCATGCTGCCTCAGCAATCTTTTGCAATTAGATATATTCTCATGACAAGTTCTACATGTGCAATAATAAATTGAGTGCTTTGTGAAAAGAGAAAAAAATCCCCCCAGAGTACCATATTTTCTCAGAATCTAATTGTAGAAAATATCCTACGAATGTTTTCGTTCAGGTCTTTCAGAATTAGTGAATATATATGAAATAGTGAAATGTCTCAGTATTATCTCTCTAAAAGAATTCTGAGTATTTTTTAAAGTTATCAAATGAGTGAAAACACTTTGTATTATTCATACAAATGAAACACTGTAAAAATGATAGCTAGTCAGTAACACTGTTATGACAGAAATAAAGAGAGGAGGGATTCTTCGTAGAATTGCATTCATAACACATGAAAAAGGGGATGCCATGATTTTTCATCTAATTCCCTCCCCCCCAACCCCCCCGGGGATTTCTTATCCAATTTAACGGAAATTCTTTTTTTCTTGTTTTTGAAGGATGAGAAGAAAAATGATGGCTTTGTTATTTCCTTAAATATTGCACAAATCTTAGCACAGAAAAATAACTTCTAACTGATATGATTTACTCTCTAACATTCAGAATAGTGATATTATTCAGCAATTAATGTAGATTTTAAAGTACTCATTCAAAAATCCTGTGTGCTATATAAAGGAGAGCAGATGACATATGAAGATACGACACTACTCTGTGAACTTCTCTTTGAAATACTGAAATATTTTAAAGCAGCAAAATTTTCACATCTTATTAAAATATTAGATTATGAGAAAGAAGTAGCCCACATTAAAAATATGAAAATTCACATTCAGACACATTATCTTTCTGAATGAGCTGCTTGCTTCCTGGCAATGCTAATAAGTATTTAGATGGTATCAAGTCTGACAATCTATCAAATAGACTTTTGTGGCTTTGTCCTGAAACATAAGTTGATGTCTGTATTTTGTAATAAAATAATAATAATATAAAGTGCTTGTTGCATATCAGACTTTGGATCCTTTGATTAGCTTTAGGGTAGCAAACTAAAGCTCTAAAGGTTTGTATTAAAGAAAATCTACTGCAGCATAATTAAAAGCCTGATGTGATTTATTTATTTATTTCAAAGAATACTCTTTCACTGGATTTAATAGTCTGATAGATCATAGGCTTGAACGTGATAGGACTTGCTTCATCACTATTTTCTGACTTACAGGAAACACCAACTGGATCAAGTTTTGCATATATTTACTCATATGTGCATGCAGTTTTGCATTTGTATGACCAGAGTGACTACAGTTAGATGTACATGGCTTTCCCATAAATGTTCTTGGCTGTAAAGAGGAGGATATTATTTTTTTTTCTGCAGCATTGCATTTATTTTATTCTTATCGAAAGTAAATTTCTTTAAAATATACACCACAATGTATGATCCGTGTGATGTCTTTAGGTTCCCCATATAGAGACAAGATCACGATAGCAATTCTACAGCTGCAAGAGGAAGGAAAGCTACACATGATGAAAGAGAAATGGTGGAGAGGCAATGGCTGCCCAGAGGAGGAAAGCAAAGAGGCCAGTGCTTTAGGAGTTCAAAATATTGGAGGAATCTTTATTGTCTTGGCAGCAGGATTGGTGCTTTCTGTCTTCGTGGCAGTCGGGGAGTTTTTGTACAAATCCAAAAAAAATGCCCAGTTGGAAAAGGTAAATACTGTACTTTCCTATTTTATTTTTATGTATTGTCTACTTAAATAAAATTTAAAACATTTTATAGCCAAATGTAGGTGCATATTGATTGTTTATCATATAATACAGTATTTCTATAACAAAGGATCACAGCAAAGTACCCAAAGTCTTACATTTACAGCTTTTAATTTTTGTTCAATATGTTTAATTGTAGCCAGCTTTCAGGACAAGTGACTATTTCTCCTCTTATTCAAGCCTGAAAAAAGACAGCTTTTTACTCCTGGAAGTTCACTGCAGTTAATTTTATGGATGAAGAAGAAATCCGAAACTGTAATGGGAAACAAATTAAACTACAGATAATTCTGATTTTCAAAAGACAAAACTGTCTGTAGCTCAAAGTCAAACTATAAAAACGTGTCTATAGAAATGTTCTTTCTGAAGCTTATACTTGAAAAGTTGTCCTGGTAGCATCTGGAAAAGTTTACATCAGCTTAATTTTTTGTGGGTTTACTGCTGGTCATAATATAATGAAATTTGTAATTTCAAACTGACTTGGTTTTGAAAGTTCTAGTTCTATTTTTTTCTGTACTTCTGTATTTCCATTATCACAATATTGTAACTGTGCCAATACTAGTAGTATCTTTTTGAAATTCTTAGCTGAAGTTACAAACTGCATAGAAAATAAACATCCCAATGCTTAAACAACTCATGTTTAAATCTAAACTCAAACTATATATTTTATTGCTTTGACATGATCTGAATTTTTTAAATGGAGAGGAACTGTTATTTTTAATTACGTGTTAATTTATTGTTGTTCAAATTTGGAGGAGCTTGTGACCTCTGGTAGTTCTTATATTTCTATTTAGTAAAATCAGATGTAAATCCAACAGTTATATTTATATTTTTTCCAGATGCTACTGGTGAATTTTTGTAACTTGAATTATTACTCATAAAATTTAAGATTTGTCTTAACTTCATTTGAGGCCACCATGCAAGTGTCTTTTTATTTATATCTTGTTAAAGACATGTTTTCTAATATTTACTGTGTGAGGCCGTGTGAGGCCACAAGGTCCTAAACACAGTTTGAACATGGGTACATGCTATTAAAATGTTAAAGGACCATTTAGATCCTTTTCTTTATGATGCTTCAGACTCATTCAGTTCTGTTAATGTGCTATTTGAATGTTATGTTTCTGAAATGAAATTGTGAGGGAAAAGATACCAAATACCTAACTAACCATGTAAATCTCAAAAATTTATCCATGGTGGATATAGATTTCATATGGGAACCGGTATAATTTGGTTCAGCTTTTCTGGACTTTTAATAGACACTTAGAAAAAATAGGAATGTTTTGATAATGATCTTGTAACATCAGTTCTTCAGTGTTTTGCAGAGTGTGAATACTTAACGTACTTAATTCTGTCAGCATGTTAGAATTTGTGTGAGGAAGAAGTAAACAGAAATTGTTTTTATTTAAGGAGCTATTTCTCCAAGCCCTAAGGTGCTGGTTTTGTGTGGAGTTGTTTTTTTTTTTTTTTTTTTTGTTTGCTTTTGTTTTTGTTGTTGTTGTTTGTTTTTTAATTTTTTAATTTTTTCTGAGAGCTGGATAGAAATAGCAGTAAGTGCAGGTATCTGAATGTCTTGCATTTACTGTATCAAAAAGGATTAAGCATAGCAACAAGTGCTGAACTAATTTCAGAATTAGGACTGAATCTGAAGCAGTTGAAAGGGTTACGTTTTTCCATTCTCCTTCCACCTTATCTCCAAAATCTTCCCTCCCTTTCCTTTCCCAAACACGCAACTACTGTCATCTCAGGAGAACACAGGTAAAATTTAGAAATGTAGAATAAAATTAATAGGAAATGATGCAAATCTCCCTGCATATGTCCTTCCCTGTACCACCCTCACCCACTCTTCTAGAACTCACTGTCTTTCACTAAATGACTTCTCCCTCCCTGCTCAAGAGTAAAAGATCCCCTTTGCCTAGGAGAGAGGAGTGTAGTAGCAGCCAAAGGGGAGACAAGCAGAACTGTCACGTCTCCAATCCCTACATCTCCTCTCCTGTGACAAGTAAACCATGCAAATAACAAAGACTTGGTTATCCCATAGAGACAGAGGAAACACCTATTTTTTCTAACATTTATTTCATTCTTTTAGACGCAGAGTATAATTCTGGCATTTATGTAAAACTTGTCGGCATTTGAAGACAGGAATGATCAAAGGTCACGTTAACAATCAAGGAAATTAAAGAAATCAGATTACTTCAACCGGTCAATATATTGAGTATCCTGAGATATAAATGAAGATATTAACCAGTTTTCCTCCTTTGTAACATAAGAAATATACAGTTGTGCTTCCATTGTGGCAATGAAGAAGCAGTGCAGATTTTAAGTTTATAATCTAGATAATTTTTGAGCATTTTTGAGCACGGTTGGACTGGGTGATCTTTTAGGTCTTCTCCAACCTTAGTGATTCTATGATTCTATGATTCTATGATTTTTGATGTCAGATTCCATCCTGGAGTATATATGTAAACAGAAATATTACCTGGTGTGAAACTGTTTGGAGGAGTGATATCTTAAAAGGAATGGAGCTGAGAAAAGCAGCAGACAAAATTTTATTTGCTAAAGAAACTGCTACTTCTAGTAACTGAAGTGGCTCAGAGCATCCATCCTGATGTGCTCAAAAAATCTGAAGGAAACATGGGACAGTTCTTGTCCTTCTGGGAAACAAACACCAGTAAGCAGAATGCCACCATGCATTCATGCCACCATAGCATTTTACAGACATAAAGAAATTCCTCTTTTATTCACACTTTTCAAAAGCAAAAATTATTTTGGATGTCATCACCATTAAACTGTTAGTAACATTTGCTCTGGCCAGTTTGTTTGAAAAACAAGTGTACTAATTTACTAGGTATTTTCTAGAAGATCCAGATCTAATGGATGTAAAACCTAACTAAAACAGTCAATTAAACTATCAAACAAATGATAATAGTAATAATACTAAAACAGCACCATGGACTCACATATACTATGATTTATAGCCATTCAAAACTCACAGTCATTAGCAGATCAAAGGTAGATTTGTTTGGAAAAAAAAAAAATAGCAGATGTATATTTTATTATATTCAAACAGTTAAAAACGTCAAAAAATGTAAAATGATAGTGTGTGCTACCTTAGAGGAAATCTGGTCAGAGGCTTCCTAAAAATAAGATTCAGTGTGGGAAAGTGAAGGCTAAGGGAGATGAGTTCATTCAATTTGGAAAGGAGCGGCTCCTGGGACACCTCATTGCAGCCTTCCAGAACTTAAAAGTTTACAAACATGAGGGATATTGAATTTTTGCATGGTCTGACAGTGATAGCACAAGAGGGAATGAGAAACATCCTGGAGCCACATCCAGCCTGATCTTGAATGCCTTCAGGGATGGGACATCCACAACCTCCTTGGGCAACTTGTTCCACTGTGTTACCAACCTCTATGTGAAAAACTTCCTCCTAATATCTAACCTAAACCTCCCCTGTCTTAGTTTAAAATCATCTCCCCTTGTCCTATCACTATCCACCCACATAAACACTCATACCTCTCCTGTTTATACGCTCCCTTCAAGTATTGTAAAGCCAAAATGAAGTCCCCCCAGAGCCTTCTCTTCTCAAAGCTAAACAAGCCCAGTTCCCTCAATGTTTCCTCATAGGAGAAGTGCTCCAGCCCTCTGATCATCTTAGTGGCCCTTCTCTGAACCCACTCCAAGAGCTCCATGACCTTTCTGTACTGCAGACCCCAGGCCTGAATGCAGTACTCCAGATGGGGCACCACAAGAGCCGAGTAGAGGGGGAAAATCACCTCCCTCTCCCACTCTCCTACTCCTCCTTTAATGCAGCCCAGAACATAATTGGCTGCAAGCCATTCTGGGCTGCAAGTGCACACTGCTGGCTCATGTCCAGCTTCTCATTCACCAGGACCCCAAGTCCTTCTCCGCAGGGCTGTTCTCAAGGAGATCTTCCTCCCGTCTGTGTAAATTCCTGTGATTGCCCTGACCCAAGTGCAGCACCCTGCACTTGGCCTTATTGAACCTCATTAGGTTTTCATGGGCTCACTTCTCCAGCCTGCCCAGGTCCCTCTGGATGGCTTCCCTTCGTTCCAGTGTATTGGCTGCACTGCTCAGCTTGGTGTCATCTGCAAACTTGCTGAGGGTGCACTCATTACCATCGTCCATGTCATTGATGAAGGAAGATGTTGGAGAGCACCAGTCCCAACACCGACCCCTGAAGGACACTGCTTGTGATCGGCCTCCACCCTGACACAGAACCATTGATCACAGCTGTTTGTCTATGTCCAGCCAGCCAATTCCTAATTCATTGAACAGTCCATCCTTCAAATCCACACGTCTCCAATTTAGAGAGAAGGATGTGGTGATGGACCATGTCATAGGCCTTGCAGAAGTCCAGGTAGATTACATCCATCGCCCTTCCCCCTCCACCCAAACTGTCACTCTATCAAAGAAGGCCACCAGATTGGTCAGGCACAATCTGCCCTTGGTGAAGCCATGCTGGTTGTCTCGATTCACCTCTTTATCTCTCATGTGCCTTAACACAGCTTCTAGGAGGATTTGCTCCATGATCTTCCCAGGCACAGAGGTGAGGCTCACCAGCCTGTATTTTCCTGGGTCTTCCTTTCTACCTTTCTTAAGATCAGCCTAGGTGGTTTTATCTCACAGTTATAACGAATGAATCCTTAGCAGTTTGCAGCATTGGACCCAAAATACACATAAGTAACTGTTAAATGCATACAAGTTATATACAGTATTTTAATCATTACCATAGTTTTTATTGAAGTAGCAATAAATTCTGAATGCTGAAATGTGATTTGCATGAGATACCATCTATGTATTCAGAGATGACAGAAACTTAACTGGTTTATCAAAACATATCATTTACAAAAATTTCAAACACCTTCTTCAGAACATACCAGCAATGTTTTGATTTTGATAATGTAAGGATGGCAAGAATAGGAGTC